TGGTGATGGAGTCTGGCTCTTAGCAACCTACCTTCTCCATTAACTTTTTTGTGATCTAGCTTTGCTGCTGTGATTGGGTTAAGAGTAAATACCATTATCTAACTTTTAAATGGAGGCACAAAAGGTTGTGGAATAACTTTTCCCCTTTCATTCACTGCTTGTGAAACCAATTCCTTGCCCATAGTGGATCTTCTGTTTTCCTGTTTGATTACCTCTTAGTAAGATGACTTTTGTGATCATCAATAACTTTAAGAATTTAGGGAACTACTTTGAAATCACGAGGAGCATGAATTATCTTAATCTAACTTTAGCTGTCTCACAATTAGGGATCAAGTTTGAGCCAAGGATTTAAAATGTTCAATCAGAGGAGAAAGTCCTCTGGAGTATGAGTCATTGTGGATAATGGATCATTATGTATAATGAATCATTATCCCCACCATTGCTGTAGATGTTAGGGGTGCTCTCCCATCCTAAAACCTCAAATGTGAAGATGACTTGGAGCTGGACGCATGGTCAAGCACAGACATGCTGCCTTTGCTCTGTGCAGGTGAAGTACAAGATCAGTTCTAGTGAGGAAGCACATCCACACTAGCATGCAACACTGACACATACATGAGACCTCTGTAGTGCAGTCATGGACCCCATGTTGATGTGACCTGCAGACCCAAAACTTGTTCCTGCTTACTGGCCTCAAACTCATCACCGTCTTCTTCTATTCTAATTTTATCCTTAAGTCACCAGTACTCACAGCTGCTGAATGTCATGAGTATTAAGTGTCTTTTAATAACCAAATAAAAGGAGAAGTTATTATCTGTATAGAATAATGAGGTAGTTTCCTAATTCTGTCCATCTGACCAGAATAGATATATATGGGACATTCTAAAGGTAAAATTGTGCAACTCGTAGATGTGCATTTCTGGCAAGTATATGATGAAGAGAATTTCATGATACTCCTCGACATTTTAATCCTACATAATTACGCTGTAATAATTAGAAGATATTTAACACATTTGGAAGGCTGGAGGGCATAAGGAGAAGGAACTCTTTTCTAATCTCAAATGAGAAGGCAAGCAGAGTTTTTCAAGGTGTATTATGATGTGCACCTGTGCATTTGAAGACACAACTCAGAACTGTAAGGCATTATAAAGAGAAATAGTGTGGAAAGGAATTGAAACTGCAGTAGAAGGTAAAATATTACAAATAATACAAAATTATTTCCCCCCCCAAAAATAGAAAAAGTAACCAAAACATTCCTATTTAAGATAATTCTGAAAAGTTAGGGGCTCCAATCCATGGAAAATGTATTTTAAAATCTAGAGGTTTCCTTTATTTCTGTCTCATCCCTTTCCTGAAACAAATAGCTACCTCATAGATCCAACTACATTATTTTTCAAATGAAATTGAAAAAAAATGTACAAAATTGTTTCCAGTAAGATTTTCAAAACATTTCTACTTCAAGTGAAAACAACGAAAAATTCCCGATGAATTCAACAGCATTTGTCCTGATTCTGAAACTCACTCTTATATAATCTCCTCTAAATGTAAATGCAAAAGCATAACCTAAGTGGGTTTTTTTTTCCACATTCAAGATTAACATAGCCATAGTAATGTCTTCCATAGTCACTGGTGACCTCTTATAATTTTTATTTCAGTTGAAGTGAATATGGGATTTAATGCTGGTCCTTCTAAAAGCATGTGGGAATTTTATCTTACTGAGGCTAAGGTTTACCTGCAATATTCAAAGAATGTTTCCAAGAGTGAGAAGGAGAGGTCTTCTCTTTGAACTCAACTGGAACTCATATAAAGTTACTCACATGAGTTGAATCTGACCAGTATAATACTAAGTTTTTCTTTATAATAAACAAGAAAACTTAATATCCCCATAGAAGCCTGATAAGCCCCAAATAAAAATCAATTATAACAGTTATTACTATAAGATTTAATAATTATGTATATTATCTTAAATAGATCAATATTAGAGGTATTTCCACTGTTACTCTTATTTTTTAAAAAGGCTATGGATCATGTGAAAAGATGAACAATGTGTGCATATGTTAGTTAGCTTTTTATGGTAGATTTTATGAGTTTTCTAGAACAGTCACACAATTTTATTCTTTCACATCCTTACTGAGATATATTTCATTGTTTCATTTCATTCTCTCATGAGTCACAAAGGAGAAATATGTATAGATATATTTTTACTTCAGATGTAAAATTCATACCTCACTTGTGAGTTATGCAAGGAAAATAAGAAGCTTCATTAAACAGAGCTACAAGTTGTCTGTGAATATGATTTGCAGGCTGGGAATACTTTCCTTTGAAATCATTAAATCTTCACAGCTAAAGTAATTTCATCTCCTTCCCCTTATTACCTCATACTAATGAAGAAAAAAGAGATTATTTTTAAAATACATTTCCTGATGACCCAGACAACAAGAAGTTTGTTTGATATTTGCTGTTATACACATTTATTTTCTGTAGCTTGCATTACAGAATTTTTTAAAGAGGTAAATGCAATTTAAAGGAGATTTCCTAAATACATGAATTTCAGAATAACCTCACAGCAGCTAAATGAGACAATCTTCATGGTTTATGATGTCTTCATTGTTTCCCTGAAACATACACCATGAAAAAAATCCACTTATCAGCTTTATTCAGCTGAACTGTTTATATTCTGTGACAACAGAGCAAAAGCATTTTTGTCATTGGTTTTACTGGATGGAGCGTTACAGGGCAAATAAGCCATAATGGGTTACACGCATGACAGCCTTTTGGAAAATAAAATGTACCCACCTGCCTTTCCCATTCATAAAACAGCACTTACTGAGGTGGTATTGCATTGTACCCAGCAAAAGTATTTCTACTGTAGACCTGTGTTGTAATGAATAAAGATTAATTAAACACTTGACTGGCCATAGCTGCTGTTTTGCAGCCAGTGATTATGACATAATAAAGTAAGAGGACAAGCATGTAAGTAGCTGACAGTCAAAGCTGAAGCCAAAACAACAACAGAATTATGAAATCTCTGGAACATCACTCAAGAAAGACTATAAATTTTAGTAGCAAAGTCAAGAATGAAGTTAGAAATAAAATATGATAGCATATAAATAGGAAAAAGAAGAAACTAATATTGTTACGTGTACTATTTCTAACATATGCAAAGAGCTGTCAAATTACAGAAAATTAAAATAGGTTCCTAAGGATGTCAGAGGATTATTGTAAGTGATGGGGCTAAAGATAATAAGTTTTAAGTAGTATATCAGAGACAGAAGTATTCTATTTATTCTTAATATTTGGAATTGAACAGAATGAAGTACTTGTGTCATGTAAGAGTGGGAAGCTCTTTTCAATCTACCAACTGAAGTGGGTATAAAATAACTTCTAATATAGAACAAGCTTAATGAGATTAGACCCATATAAGGTGCACAGAAGAGTCCTAAAGCCAAATTCACAGGACACCAAGATTTGAAAGCAGTCAGTGCGAAAGTAATTTAAGATAAAGAATGAGTAAGCTATCCAGCTTCTATGGCAGAAAAAGAGCTAGTGTGATCCATACATATCTAAAAAAAGAAAGATATATATGGTTGGAGTGCTGAAGAAAAAGGGATTAGTCTGTTTATTTTGTTCACTTAAAAAAAAGTGATTTGATTTCAACATATGTATCTTCTGTGGAAGAAAGTAGTACAGGACCATTTCACAAAAGAGAGGCGTCACGAGGACCATGTCTTGAAGACGAATCCAGACATATTCAAAATAAAGTAAAGTATCTTTCATGAGATTAAGTAATCAGTGGAGCAAACTGACAGGGGAAACAATGATTCTCCGTCTCTGATATATTCAAATCAATAGTGGATACCATTCCAAAGACTGTACTTTTGCCCAGACACAAATTTTGTATGAAGGTAATTATGCTAATAGACTCAATGAAATTTAATGAGTTCAAGTGATATTCAAGTGAGAGTATTAGAGAAGCTAATACATCTGACCTCCAAATATGAGTTGATGAATTTCCTGAATCTCTGTAAAATGCTTGAATTTGGAGCAACTCAGCTGGGAGTCGGAGCCCAACCACAGTAACTCACAAGGCTGATTTTCACTAGCTGAACAATAGCTAGAACCTTACTTACGTGTGGCTCCCACCTCTGTGTATGTTATGTCTAAAATTGGACACCACGAAAAATGGAAGAAAAGGCTTTTCATTGCAACTTTTTATAATTACAGCAAGTCCCACAAATGGAAGTTAGTAAGTGCCGGTAGAAATGAAAATTGCTTTGAATTTGAATCCATGTTATGAACTACATACCCCCATCTAAACTGCAACACCTTTCAACTGTGTTTATATCTAAGTTTAGACTTGAGAGCAATTCAAATAAATCTAAAATAAATTTTCCATGAATAAGTTATATTTTCATTTAGGATATCTTTAAAGTTTCTTTTAGAATACCTGAATTATAGACTAATTTTTAGTTCGCAGTCAAACGTTTGGCATTACTTTTATAAATATGTTCTTTTTTTCTTCCCTCCTCTGAGTGTCCTCTACCACATTCAGAAAAATATAAGGCTGTACCAATTGAAAGCCATGGAACAAACAGCCCAGGGGCTGGAGAATTCATCACAAGTCTTTGGGTAAAAAAAAAAAGATCATTGAAGTTCCTCAGGTTTTGAAGTTGTTATTTTCTTTCACCCATAGAATAAAACGGTTCAGGACAACAAGAGTAAAGCATAGAGTGCTAAAGAAGCTCTAGAGAGAGCTTTTGAAGTGATTTACTTAATCTCAATAAAAAATTGGCGTCCCTTGTGGATGAAGGGGACACCTGCCATGTAACAACCATTTATTAAATGTTCCCTATGGACACTGAAGTATATCAAGCATACGTGAACCTTAATTGTGATTATATTTTATTGCTTCTTAGATTATTAAGCATTTACATTAACAGATAGCAGAATCTATATTCTCAATAGTGGAAGAGTGCTAACAGTAATTTTACTAAATATTTCAGCCCTGTTCCAACAATCTCGTGGAGGAAAGTTAATGGTCATAATCCAAGTAAAGCCCGCCTGAGAAAATCCCAAGCTGTGCTTGAAATACCTAATGTGCAGCTAGAGGATGCAGGGATGTATGAATGTAAAGCTGAAAACTCACGTGGAAGGAATGTCTTCAGAGGACAGCTGCAAGTGTACAGTAAGTGTAACTGCAGACAGTATTATCCAGCAATGTTTTGTCCACACTTAAGGCTGTAAATACATATGAAGAGTGTTCAGGTCCAATGAAAAAGAAGTATCTTTCTTCTGAAATAAGATCAGTATGGAATTAGGCTATATCTTTTTACCTCTCAGTAAGGCATTAAAGTATGAAGCATGAATAAAATTGACTTCCTCAAAAGCTGGCAAAACCAAACTTTTATGTTTCTTGATGTTTAGGGTTTCTTTTAAAAACAATATTCTTATAATTTAAAAAAATCTATATTTTTGATCCTCCTAATATGATATATAATGCTGACATGCAATCTATACCTGATGCATTTGTCAGAAAACTACTTTATGAATATCTTAGGATTTTTCTCATGCTTTTTTTTAAACTTCTACTTTACCCTTGCCGTGTCTCAGTGATGAGTTATTGTTAATTTCATTGTACGGGAAAAAGAACTGAGTAAGTGAAATCGTGAAATAAGTGGAGTCCATATTTTGTGAAAATCTAGGCATGCACAATTTCTTAAGGTTCTGATTTTCAGGAAGGGCTGGAAAATGAAATGATTTCCTCGAGATCATACTTTTGGCCTGTGGAAGAGCCAAAAACAGAACTCAGATGACAACAAACATGATCTAGTGTTCTGGCCACTACATAACAGCAGCTCTCTTGTTAGCTAGGATAGCAGAGGACCCTGCTTGAGCAAGGGGATTGGACTAGATGATATCCAGAGATCTCTTCCAACCTCAGCCATTCTGTGATTCTGTGATTCTGTGATCAATTTTCATTTTTGAGTAGAATATCTATTTTTGGGTTTTGCTGCTCAGATCTAGAAGTCCATAGAAAACATTTTCTCTATCAACTTTGCAAATATATAAATAATAATTTTTAGTTCTCCACCATTGTATGATTTTCAGAATATTTTTTGAGATATTGCTTTTATGGATAATGCAGACTTTGTGCTAATCTGCAGTTTATGCAATAATAGTAGAACAGATGTAGCATTATGGAAAGGGGATCCACTTCAGATTGTCTCTGATAAACAGCTATGTGAGGCTGGTATATTATTTTGGTTCTGGTTTTGTGAAGTCTATTATTGATTGTAGACTACCTTATAGGTAATTAAAAAAAAAAAAAACTGAACTGGAATTTCATCTCTGCATAGTGGGGAGCAAGGTCAGTGCAGGTAACAGAGAGCTTTCAAATGGAGAAGATCAAGAGTGACTTATAGTACAGCAGAATATGCAGCACAAACTATTAGTAGTCTACCTAAAGCACTTTTTCTAGGCGTCAAAATGAGGTAATGTCCAGTGAGCCTCTCACATCAGAGGGCTCCTGAAGACAGCATTAGTATCTCATTGGCCTACAGACCCTGACCTCCGTTCTCAAGGATGTAACGGGGTTTGTCTAAATGTTACTGTAGGGCATTCTCAGCTTCCTTTGCTGACAGCTGATTTGGCAGGATTTGGGGGCATTACTTGAAACAGCATTTGCTGCTATACTTCTAATTCATAGCAACACTCAACATGAATTATTTATCTTAAAGCTCATTGTCTTTTCACTGACATCTTATTCCTCCAGGACACAATGATTACTTTGGCTCAAAAATTCATATGTAGGCCATCATTCCTTACCAGGGTTTCCTTGTAAAATTTCGGAACAGGCTATAGGACCAGCCATGTCATACTATGGTCTCACTGTTTACATATCTCTGCCAGAACTCACTTGCTGTCTGTTTGAATCTTCTCCGTTATGTCAGTTGCCTCTGATCTGGATTACCACAGAGGATTTTGGAGAATGGCCGGAACACCAAGTCTGCCCATCTGGTCACATTTAGTCACAAACTACTGATTTCTTACCTGATGCTGTAATCCAGATGTACCATGACAGTCTGATGCAGCTGACACTTCAGATATTGTTCAGAAAGTAGTATTTCAGATGCTGACAATTTCAGATTGTTGCAGTCTTGTTGTAGCTGTAAGTGCTGACTTAGCTGAAATTTAGCTATAGAAGTGACAAAGGCATCAAAAATTTAATTTTGCTAATGCCAAGACATCCTCATGTGGATGCAATCAATTTTTAGCATTATAATTTTCCCTCTAGTGATTTGGTCATCCAGTAATTTACATTGACTTTTATTCGAGCTTAAATTTATTAATAGAAGAGAGCACAAAAATTACAATTTTCATGGAGAAACAGGGCATTAATCATTTGTAATCACTGACTACCAGCATTTTCCCAATAGCAGGTGCTGGTTTGAACAATCCTGATGCTCTTGCACTCTGAACCTCTTGCTTTTGAGGGTATGATATGGATGCCCGAGAGGAATCCACTAGATCTTCCCTTCTTCTTCCTCCTTCTCCCTTCCTGTTTGCCTTTCTCTTCCCCCTTCCCCTTCTCTCTCACCATTCATTGTACAGATCTCAGTGTCCTTTCTTACCTCTCTTTTTCTTTCTTTATCTTTTCTTTTCATACTTCTTTTTTTCCTCTCTCATCGTTTTGTTTCGATACACAGGTATCAATGTAAAAGAAGACAGACAAGCAATTATGGGGAGTTAAAAATGAGAGAGCAGGTATCTCTGCAATGAACATAAGATAAAAAATGACTAAGGAAGAAAGAGACAAAGGAGAAGGAACGAGGCAACAAATTAGGAGAGGGAGCTGACAGAACGGTGGCACAAAAGACTGACCTAAAGCAGTGAGCTTCCAGCTGGCCCCTAGCAACCACGAGTTATTTGTACAGCCCTGTGCCACTAAAGCTGAGCCCTCACAGCCCAGATGTTCAGCCCCAGCTTTACGAGACCAAGGGGAAAGCGCGTCCTCCTCCCACAGTTACGTTACTCTCCGGAGGCGCCCAATTGAACTGAAGGCCCATTACAGCCCCTGTACAGACAGCACAGCCCAGGGAAGCACAGCCCTCAACTTGCATGTCGAGGATGTCCTTCACTGCCATGTGCTTTCCTAATGCAAACACCTCAGGCAAGCAACATCAAACACAGGTTTCTCCTTCAACACCATTACTCTCACTAGGGAAAATAAATGCAGGAGTGCATATCATGCTCTGGCATGTGCTGCAATAGTCTGTAATGCAGTGTAACAGGGGTCCGGATTTTTTTACCTTCTTTATATAGACAAGCTTGAGAAAACAAGCCTAGTTTTAACCTCAGCCCATATTCAAAGCCATTACCCATTAAGCACGACTGAGACTATCAGAAGAAGAATGTTGTTCTCCGAGAGGAAAGTAAAAAGTAACATAGGGTCTCCCTCTCAAACACCATTTTAATCACTTCCTATAAAAACTACATGGAAGCAAATCCATTAGTGTCTCTGTATGTTAGCCTCAAATACATGCAGTAAAACTGGCTGGAAAGGAAGAAATTTCTGTGGTCAGAACTGTGCCTTCAGCTGAAGTTTGCTATCTTTCTAACCCTGTCATAGCTACGTATTCATCTTCTAGTGTGTGCTTCCCAACTTGGCCTTATGTCCAGAAAATTAAGTTTTCTTAGCCCAGACTTTGTTCTCATTCACACTTTATGACACTGTCTGAAGTCAAGGCACTTGCCTATGCAAAATTTTCTCCTTTTTTTTCAGCCAAAAAGTTGCATAATTGTTTGAGAAAGTAATCTGAATTTTTTGCATCTGAATTTCATTTTGCACAAAGGATTTTTAAAAAATGGCCTATAAGCTTGCAGATTTATTGCCCGTTTGTGTTTGTAAAGCATTTTGACATCCTTGAATACAAAGAGGTGAAGGAAAGCAACATAAAATAAATCAGAGGATGGCCACAGTGATTTTAAAATCTCTGGAGCACTATAGAAAACTATGGCACAATATCCATAAAGACTACTGAATAATAAAATAAATCCTTCTATTCTTACATTCATCCTCAAAATTGTTCACTCGACAGATAAAAATTCGGCAAATATCCATTGTTCCCACAGCTGAATGTTGCTTTTATAAAGAGAGAAAACATCTGTTACTTATGAAATTTGTTGAAATACTTCTTGCTAATATTTAAATTTTCCAATTAAAATCAAGGGCAATTATGGAAGGAGCTTTTCCTTTCCCACATGTGTAATAAGATGAAGATCAACCCCTTTTGTTAAAAAAAGTTAATAATGAAATGAGCAAGAGGTTGCAAATCCAATTATGTCTTTAGTATTTAACTCTTTTAGTAATTGGCAGGGTTTAAATGCAAATATAATGATATCACGGAGAGAGACTCTTACAAATGAGCAGAGAAGGAGCTCCATTTTCCTGTTGCAGGGTAAGGAGTACAGAGAGAGCAGAAAAGAAGCCAAAAAGTGAGGCAAAATATTTCTCTCAATCACACGTTTAGCACTGTTCCTGCTCCATCTACCTGTTGCTTTGCTATTTTGTTCAGAATTTCTTCTATTTCAGTCAAAGAGGTGAGAATCTGAGTCAATACTTATGCTGATGGCAAATTCAACAGCTTGAAAATTCAGAGTTCAAAAGCCATTTAACGTATCAGGAGAAAATTTAGGCCCCAATTTTCCCAGCCGATGAAAATATGATTGTCAGTTCCAATCAATCATCCAACTGAGATTTGCAAGCTTGTGGTTATAGAGGAATAGCCATACCGTGACTATGCTATTAAGACAGCCACAGCCAGAGGAACTGCAGTTGTATACTGATGAGAACATCTCTGGATCAGACTTGATAAAAGTTTTATTTCATTGTAATCAGGTTCACTGTCTAATTTCAAATGCTTAGGTTCAAGATGAGATCAAATTCAAAATACAAAATACAAAATACAAAAATGAGACCATTTATATTTTGGGTCATATAGCAGAACTTTCAGAAAAGCAAAATAATAAAAAGAGTGAAATAAAAAGAAAGTAGCACAGTTTAATGCCTCTTTGAAACTACATGATTTTATGGCACCATCGGCTAACTTTTATGAATTTTTAGTTACAAATTTAACTGTCACATCATCAAAATCATGCTAGCTCTACTGATTTTCAAACGAAAGAATTGCTGCTCCGCATGCTTCCTTCATTCATACCAAAACATTAACAGAAAACAGCAGCAAGAACTAAACAATGCAATTGAATTATATTTTTAGGATGACTAGTACAATTAGTAGGCAACATGTGAGCAGGAACTCCCATAAGTTGCTTCCAAGTATTACATGGGATCTTTTAGTAACATAAGCCATTGATTCAGTGCAGAGAGAGCACATACGGAACATTTCATGTGTCACCTTGACTGCAATAAGAATAGAGGAGCATCTATTTTGGGTCTTAGGTTTGAGGGTGAGGTTAGGTCTATCTTGTCTCTGATTTCCTCCACTAGAAAGGAAATAAGTAATTCTTTTTCTGATACCTTTCCAACAATCGCCTGCTCAGACTATTCTCTGCTTAGGAATGATAGACATTTGACTCACATTCTTTATCATCAATGCAGATAGAACCAGTTACATACCTGTCATGTCTCATCGTATTTTCTCACTTCTTTGATTGGTGACCTGTCAAATGCCAGCTAGATTCAAAGATTTATTTTTAAACTCAATTGCACATTTTAGGTAGGTTATCAATTATTCGATGATCAAAACAGACACTTTGTTGCGACAGCTCTGGATTTCTACTCATTCCAGTCAGAAGAACTGTGCAGTCCTTTAGCAGAGGAATCCTTCGGCTACTTATTATCTCCATTTTTCTTAATATTTAAGGTTATTAACGTTAATTAATTTAATCTGTCATACTCTTTGCTACAGAACTTGATATTGCTACAATGCGAAAAACCAAAATCTGGCTTCTGAGCATACATTTTTTATTTCTGTCATGAATAAACAGTTCTTCAGTGAACCATGAAGTTTTCCAAATGATAAGATTCTCTGCATTGGTATGTGATTGATCACTGAAGAGCTGCATCTCTGCAAAGATATTCCCTGCTTTTTAACAGGTTATTTCATGACATTTGGGTACTAACAACCATGTATATGGCTAACTACTGTGTGCCTTAAAAAAACTACCATTTAAACATTGATTTACTATATAATTTATGTTCATGATGAGTGCTGGAAATCCCTGGTGTTCTGTGCCTAAAAGCATTAAAAGCATTTTCTCCCTTGAAATGTGAAACTGAACTAAGTCCAACAAACTTTAACAAGAACATGTGCAAATACCTTGCCAAATGCCCGTCATTCCTAGCTGAATAAATCATAGTTTCCCAGTAGACTGATAGAAGTGCATGAAACAGAGACGCTATGATAATTATTATTATTGAATTTATGAGCGTTTACCTGGTAGCCACAATAGAATATTTAGCAACACTGCAAGACCAACGTTATTTAAATTTTAGTAAGGGGTTTAACTATCAACTATCATAGTCTCTCTATTTCATGCAGTTCTATCAAGTCTAGCAGTGTTGCTAAATAGTGTATGGCAGCTCTCAGGTAAATGTTCATAAATTTAATAATAATACATGCATTAATATGTAGTACTGTAATGTAATCCACTGGTCTGTATTAAATCAGACCAACTTTCTATTCCTGGTCATAAATGCTCACCACCTGATCCAATTCCTTTATTTCCTTTAATGTTTTGGAGTTCTGTTAATGTTTTTACTTTTTATTTTGTTTTTGTTTGTTTGTTTGAATGTGCGTCTTGCTCAGAGTAAACTAGGCTTTATATAGGCCATTATTTAGGTTCCTTAATGGTTTAAGTCTTCACATACCAGCAAAAGACTTACCAGTTTGTATGGTTTGTATATAGAATTGTTGTTTGTTTGTTTGTTTGTTTTTGCAGCCTACCCACATTGGGTGGAGAAACTTAACGATACTCAGTTAGACAGTGGAGATCAACTCCGTTGGGAATGTAAAGCCACTGGAAAACCACGGCCCACATATAGCTGGCTGAAAAATGGAGTTCCTCTCTGGTCACAGGTACGTTGTACAATGAAGCACCAGTATGTTGCATGTTTCTAGTTCGATTCAGATAAAATTAATTAAAGTACTGAAAAGTACTTCAGAAACAAGAGTTTTTCTCTCTTAGGTTCTTACGTGTTACTGTACAGGCAGATTTGTTATGCATGTCCCTCCTGGCCCATCTCCAGCACTGTAAAGTTGTGTTCGTCCGAAATTCTCTCTAGTTCACAGATATGGGGCAGACAGGGCACCCCGAGCTGTATCTGCAGCATCATCTCCCCACTCTTCACTTACTATGATGTCCCTCTGAGCAATACTCACGCAGCATGGTGAGGTTTTTATTTGTTTGTTTCTGTTTTAGATTGTAATATTCGCTGTAAAACTGTTACTTATATCTAAACTTTTCTGTATAAAAAGCAAGTGTCAACTTGCGTGACATGACAACTCAGAGAAGGCCTGTATTAGATGAATCTGACTGAATCTGACTCTTTAATATCTCCGTCAGTGTTATGTTATGTTATGTTATTTATCACACAGCATAGTTTCATTGTACATGGCATATGCTTCAAAACTCTAACAAGCTAATGTAAGAGGTACAACGGACATTTTATGTTCATTAGATTTCAGCTCTGTTAATTTTCTGTGAATAACAGAGCTCATACCCTTATCATCGAGACTACTAAAATGTGGCATAGAAGACTTCTAGAATGTCAAGTCTAATAGTGCAGCGATATTTTAAAGTTAGGTTTAGATAAAATTCTCTTTTCATTTTAAAAGACCACTCACAGCATGATCTGCTCCTTAGTTTACTGTATTGTTCTGTTTCTTTCACCGAATCATCGATGAATCAACCCACATCATGTGGGGTTTTTTGTTTTTTTTTTTTTTGTCTAGTCCCTTTCTATTTCTTATAATCTCAAAATATTTAAAGTAAAAAAAGTTTTATGAATTTATTTCCTGTATTTTTCCGGATTAAAATAAAACTGTTTAATTTTGAGAGAAAACATATCAATTTGTAAATGAATTCACAGAATGGATTTATGAATATAAATATATCTTTCTTTCAGTGAATGTCTCAGATCTTTGAAAATCAATCAGTTATACAAACAATGAGAAAGGAAACATATAAACACAGTATATTTTTAAAGCTGCAAGGCATTGAAAATAAGGCTACATGCCCTTTCTGCCTTTTTAAAGAGGGAGATATCCATCCTGAAATTTAAATAATTTAAGTATCTATACTTCTGATTTTCTGATTTTCCAAAGCATTCATTGTACTAGGCTCTGAAATTTCAAATTACATTTTAGTTAAAATGAGAGGCTTAAGATAGAGAGAACTTCTTTTCATTTTTATCTGTGCATTCTCAAACGCTCCGTTCTTTACTAATCTTTAACTCAAACAACAGCTGTAACAATGAAACTTAGAGATGTATTGTAACAGTTCAAATTATTCATTATACATCTCTGTGAAATACATATGTCCGTAAATAAATATTAATATCCCCTTTCTTTGACCTACAGTAATTATTTTCTACTAGTAGACCTTTCAAATTGTCTCTGATGATAAAGGCAATTAACCCTTTCACTCTTACTCACGCAAATAGTTTTTTATATTGACTTTTACGGAAATGGTGCCAAAATTGAAACCAAACATTTGCTATAGATGCAAATATCATCAAATATGTTACACCCACAACTGATATCTTGCCTCATTAAGGTTCCAGGGATGAACTGCTTTTAAAATTATGTAGGGTAACAGCCCCCAACAGGCAAGCAAGCAAGCAGACAAAAGCAATCCTCAAGAATGGTGAACCCTACACTTAAAAATATTTCCCTTTAAATTTTTTCAGAGGTTTTTTCTGCCCCTCCCTCCCCCAATCTGTTTTATTCTTCTCATTCCTTAGGTAGCTGGAATAAAGTAAACCCAAGGAAGTTCATTCCTAACTTGTGCTTTGTCCATTTACCTTAACCTAGGAGCCAGAACGTTTCCAGAGCTTGTTTGCTTTTACAGAATTAATATTTTTTTATTCCATTACAGAGCAGAATTGAGATGCTTAATGGTGTACTGATGATCCACAGTGTGAATCTGTCAGATGCTGGAATGTATCAGTGCTTAGCAGAGAATAAGTATGGCACCATTTATGCCAGTGCAGAGCTGAAGATTTTAGGTGAGTATCATGAGAAACAAATTGAATGTTCCTTTCTTTCCTTTTCATGATTACACTTGTTCTTGGTCTGTTAGCAAAGTGGACAAAAGTGGGCTTTTTTTTTTCCTTTTGTTAACTATATTTGACTCGATCCTTTATCGCCTAGGGGCGTGCAGGTCGTTCTGTTAATGGAATGCTTTATTTTATAAATTCCTGACTCAGTTACGTTTTGTGACTAATATAAGGCCCTGTTAATTCAAATGCATGGAAAAATAGTTTTTACTCCCTCAAAAGCAAGTCCAAGAAAAGAAGTTTAGAGAAAGCTAATACATTTTAAAGTCTCCATTATAATTAAATTATTATTTCTACCAGGGCCATTATTCAAAAGTAATTAAGCATGATCTTAGCACTACCGATTTAAAATATTTCTACTAAGTCACCAGAACTGATTGAATACTCAAAATTACATAAATAAACCAGCATCATGTCACAATGAAGCGAATACATGACATAATGTGTTTTGGAAAGCGTTGGAAAATGTTCAGTATTTACAAGTGTTTGTTGGGAAGAGGAGTGTTAATGAAGAAAAAAAATGAAGCCTGGGTAATGTTGTCTTTCTGACAGTCTCTAGCATTGATATAAAGCTAAAGGTTGTAAAACACAATAGGGCAACAGTGATAAAAGGGCTTCTGTGGGACTAAGAGACAGACTTTTAAGAGTCTCTTGTTTAATTCAGCACAGAGAGCTGCTGGAACATGGGTTTCTACCAAAGTACTTCTCAGACGTATCAGAGGTCACGGGCCTCCGCACTGCTCAAACCTTGCAAATTTCCAAAACTGCACCTGAGAATCACTCTTCCAACCTCCCAGTCAAATATATAATAAAGCTGTAGGTCCTGAAACAATACAGTACCTGTGAGCTAAGATTTGGTTCTCCTGAAAAATAACCTGATCTATTACATTTTCCCTGTTTCCAGGCTAGTCAACATTAGATTTTCACTGTTAACTCTTCAAAATATTTTTATCTAACCACAAATTACATGCACAGTCAGTGGTTGCTTTCTTTTCATCACTTTTCCTTGTCAGATGAGATTCAGTCATCAAACCTGTTACTTTCCATGTTCTCTTGTTCTTTTTTTTTCTGTTCCTGTCTTATCTGGTAGTTGCACAGTCTTTTCAGTATTTTGTAACTTTGGCAATGGAACACAGCTATCATATGTTGCCTCAGTAACATTGGGCTTTCGTTTGTAAAATTGTACCCCTGTTAAATTTTAACCGTAATGTTGTATTAAAGAAGCAGTTGCATTTAATTTTCTGGATTATTAAAGGACACAGAACAAAATAAATTGCCTGTATAAATAGCTCTGATATAAAAACTACCAAAAATAATGGTAGGAAATTCCTACATATCTGAGACTATGGAGATGTAAGATGTTCCTAAATTTGTAGGTGAGACAAGTTTTTTTTGGTTTGGGTGGGGGTTTTAGGTTTTGTTGTTGTTTGTCTGTTTGTTTGTTTTGCAAAACTGGTACTTTAACAAAATCACAGACAAAGGAGTTTACCTGGGAACAGTTGGCCTTTGTTGTTAAATTACAGTAATTAGGGCCATTGTGTGATACCTTTATTACCTTAGCTGATTTGTTGCAGTCAGTGGGACTTTCTGAGACGTGAAATAGTAAGAACAAGTTATGATTGCATATCTACTATTACAAAATTTGCACTTTTCAATACCAGGTATTTACACAAAAAATAAAAAGGTAAAACAATAAAATTTCTCTAACACTAATATTTTTAAAAGAATTAGATTTAGAAAGGGCATTTTGGACAATGCATGGAGTTTAAACTTTTTTTCTGAACTAGTTAATTCTAACAAGTTGCATGTGAAACTCAACATTCTTAGAAAAGGTCTAGTTAAGTCGACTGTAGCATTTAATCACTAAAGCTGTTGGATTTCTCAAGTAATTACATGTTAGTATGCTGATGTGAATGACATTTCATGAATTAATAGATTGATTAAATTATAGACCTGCCATCTAGTCTTAGCTGCTGATTTCAAACATTTTGTAAAGCTCTACCTGATCTGTCGTATAATAATTACCAAACGAAAAATGAAAAGGGATAACTATCTATTAGAACATACTGGAATGCAAGGCTGTGACTGTTCTCTGCTGAGTTAACACACTTCTTTCTAACAGCTTCAGCTCCCACTTTCCCGTTAAATCAAATGAAGAAAACAATTATTATTACCAAAGGCCAAGAAGTTGTTATCGAGTGCAAACCACAAGCTTCTCCAAAGCCAACTATCACTTGGAAGAAAGGAGACAAAGCACTAAGGGAGAGTAAGAGGTCAGAAGCCTGTTCGGTAAACTAAATATTACTGTGTTTGCCTATTTGATTCTGTGCTATTAGATGAAAACGCAGCAAGTAACAAGAACATGCATGTGTAAGCATAGATGTGGCACAATTATTCTGTCACACTGATTAATCTGACAGTAGTGACTTTATCTTTTCCACAATATAAAATAAATATCTTAAAATTGTTCAGAGATTCAGACAGATGAAAAGAAATTATTATTTTGTTTTGTTTTGTTTTTTCTCTATTTCCTGTTACTCTTTTCAAAAATGCTTCACTTGCGCTGCGGAGATACTATATAGTATGTGTATCACGTTTTTAAAAGTGTAGAGGCTGAAGTATTAAGGATCACACAAAAATATCACATGTGCTTACTTATTTGAAATACCTTCAATAAGGCAGGTCAGCAGCTTTATCGCTATGCTAAGATTGCAATTGTAAGAATAGCTTTAAATGATTCAGAGAAGAAAAATATGATTCCATTATAAAATTTAATTATACAAGTAATTTCTGTATTCAGCAGCACACCTATTTAACAGATTGCATTTGATTCAATAAGTTCCATCCAGTTCTGTATGTTAAACATAGTTTAAGTGCTGTGGGTTAAATGCCAACTATAGTTGCACTTTACAAGATAGCCTGTCTGTACACTAGAACACTTCTGCCAGTCTTGACATGGTCTTTAAGTATACACAGCAATCTTATCTTCTTTCTGGTAATGTATGTGAATGTACCACTTAAACTGACTTGTATTAGTCAAAAAGATAAAAGCAAGGCCTTTTTGTTCATTTGTGCAATACTGATGAAAGCAGTACAGTGCATTTCTCCTCTTTAGCTGCAAAAATCATTTCATTCGAGTGAGTTCTATTTTAATCTCATGCCATTTGTTTTGTTCAGAAAAGGAAAAATGGGTAACCTTTCAGGCCATGTTGGCTCTATGGGGAGGCATGGTGAAATAGCATTATATACAGCATTTTACTAATAGGTAAGGATTGTATCGTGTATGTTGATAATACATGATAGAATGATAATGCAAAGATATTGATAAATATCAAATATTCTGAGACTGTTGCCTCTGTGCTATAGCTATACAGTTAATTTCTCTGAGTTCATAACATGACCTGCTCCTCTCATCTACCCAACACTCACTATGTGTGAGCCGGTAAGAGTATATTGGCAATTACCTGATGACTGCCCAAACATGGTCCAACTCTGAAGTTAAAAATCCCATTAAAATAAGATCTGGGTTATACCTTTTGATATTTGCAGTTTTTGGTACTCACCTATTTTGACAGAGCCTGGAAGAAGAAATGAAGGAACATGGAAGGTGAAAAGACATGGTTGAACTATTTTGAATCTTTGCAAGACCTGATTTGCATTCAGTTCAACTTTTAGTCTGCTGTTCAAGGAGGTTTTTCTGTTATTTAAAGCAGTTCCTCTGCACCTGTTTTTTATATCTGGGGGAAATATCTGTTTCAAGGGAACTCAGTTCTCACTCTATATACAGAATTTCTTAAACAATAATAATATAATTTATTTGAAGAGGAAATGAGTAAGCTTATCATGTGATTTTGGGAAAGGAAGTGTAATTCAGTGGAGATGGTACCTGTGTTTCCATATTTTGGGCACCTTGGGAAAGAAGCACTGGAAGGAAACTGTCTAATGCACACGGAAAAAAAGGAATAATTTGTCATATTTTGATGAACGTGTTTCTGCTTACCTTAAAAATGGGCTTTCTTCATAGGCTGCTGAAAAAAAAAAATCCAGTAAAAATGTTTACGAACTGTCATGTTGTAAGATTAAGGCGGGAGCACCACCTGGACTCCCAGCAGGGACGGATACGCAAACACAAGGCACACTAGGGTCAATACTGAGCGTTTATTACCTCTGCGTCTGAGCGGGGGTTCCCCAGGGATTTCCCGATCGAAGCA